AGGATTCCAGAAATTTATCTCCCAAATTTCTGGAATTTTTTTTCCAGGTTATTTTGGCTGTTTTAAATGGACTGCGGAGATCAGACTTCCACTGTTATCAGTGTGCCTTAGAAGTTGCATCTGAGTCTGGAGGCCCTGTCTGCTTTAGGGTTGCTAACTCCACGTTGGGAAATACCTGGAGGTTTGAGGGGGCAGAGCCGGAGGAAGGTGGGGTTTGGGGAGTGGAGGAATATAAGGGTATAATGCCATGGAGTCCACCTTCCAGAGTGGCAATTTTATCCAGGTAAACTGATCTCTGTCTCTTGGAGAGCAGTTGTAATAGCAGTAGGGCTGCCAAGTGGGGACAGGGGGCGGGTAAACCCCCGCTTTGGAGGCCCGATTTCCGCCGCTGCGGAATCGGGCCTTGGGGGGAACTCCACCCCCTGAAGCGCAGCATGGCTGCGTCACCAGAGGTGACGCAACCACATCGATCACGTTGGGCGCGTTGCCCCGATCGTCAGAGGGAAAAGTCTATGGTTTTCCCTCCGACGATCGGAGCCCCAGGATCTCTGCCGCAGGGGGACAGCGATAGGCGTTGCAGCGGCGTCACCAGGATGTGACGCCATGCATCACTCTGGCAACGGGACTCCAACCCCGTTGCCAGGGCAACGTGTAGCATCACATCCTGGTGACGCCTGTGCAACGCCTGTGCAACACATTGCTCCTTTGCTGGCCTTGGGAGGGAGGCCAGACCGACTGATCCTCAAAAATCCGAAATTCTTTCTAGACACCTGGAACCATAACAACATTCCAAATATTAGAAAGGACTTAATTGCTAGCCTTCTTGTCGCAGCCAAGTCACTGATTGCTCCCTCATGGAAATCCAGTAAGGCCCCTACATGTTCCTGCTGGCTTTAAAAAGTCTGGGATCACTTCATTCTGGAAAAGATCACAGATCGCGTGCAACGTTCAGAGATCTATCCCAGATCTTCAGATTTCACTGAGAAATGGCTGCCATTCATGGAATGCATTGCTGTGACAGATCTCCAACCACACAGTTCTACATACTTTATCTCTAACTTCTCTTCTATCTCCTCTCTTACAATGCTTGGTCGTGACCTTGTATACAGTCTCTGTGACATGTAGTTTATGTCCCATGCTCTCAAACCTCCATCTCTCTGGTCACCTCAGTATTGCCTATTAAACTGACATTACTGCTTGATTAGAGCTGCGGTGGCTCAAGTGGTTAAGACGCTGAACTGCAGGCTGTGGAAAGTCAGTAGTTCAGCAGTTCGAGACCTGGGTGCCGCAAGACGGAGTGAGCTCCCGTCTCTAGTTCCAGCTCCTGCCAACCTAGCAGTTCGAAAGCAAGAAATTGCAAGTAGATAAATAGGTACCACTTCGGTGGGAAGGTAGCAGCGTTCCGTGCGCCTTGGTGTCATGCCGGCCACATGACCACGGAAATGTCTTCGGACAGCGCTGGCTCTTCGGCTTTGAAACGGAGATGAGCACCGCAACCCTAGAGTCGGATTCGACTGGCTTTCGAGCAAGGGAACCTTACTACTTGATTGAGTCGCTATATACTTTTAGATTTCTTGGTTATGTAACTTGTATGTTATTGAATTCTACACTGTAATTTTGATGTTTCTGTTCTACTCTGTTTGACATTAATCTTTTAATAAAACGTCTTTTTAAAAAATCTGGGAAAAAGATACCCGAAATGGATTTCAGACATGATATCAATACTCCTGACACTTGGGGGGGAATAATCGTGCCTTTCGTAAATCAGCGGAGCCAGAATTAAAACAATTTTATTTTGAATGGTTCACCCATGCGTAGCATTGTATTTTGCCTGGGACTGTGATGTTCTTGCATTTTGTTGGTAATTAATTCTTATTGAGTTATCGGTTTTGTTTATTCCAGCTGTTTACGAACTCTCCTGCGAAGCCTATAAACACTTGGGGAAAGCGTCAGGTTCCTACTGGATAGATCCAGATGGCAGTGGTGCACTGGGACCGTTGAAGGTTTTCTGCAATATGACAGGTAACTACTCTGCAACTACCAACACTTTCCCCCTGTATATGTACCACATTGCTCCTTTGCTGTGTTTATGTAGTCCACAGAACAGTGTAGCAGAGCGGGGAGAATGTTGGGAAATCTGGACTCAAGCTATGAAGCTCATTGGGTGACCCTGGACCAATCACTGGCCTCCTCCCTAAACTCTTTCACGTAGTTGCCGTGAAAGTACAGTGGGCTAATCTTTCCGAACGCTGCCTTGTACTCTCCAGAGAAAGGGCGAGATAAAAATGTATTTTTTGAAATAAAATAGCAAAGGACCTGCTCAGGGAGAAATGCCAATGGTGTTCCCCTCCCCTCAGTCTGCTGGAGACAACTGCTGCTTATTACCTAACATCCAGTGGCCAATATTTCTGCAGCTTGTGGAGGAGGGGAAACGACACTCCTTCTAGCAGCCTGCTAGAATCATATGTGATTTCGGTGACCTCCTTAGTGTTGTGTGTGAGTGTGTTTTTCTCAAAAGACAACTGTGAAGTAGAAATAGGGTTGCCCAGGGCTTTTTCTGTAGAAAAAGCCCAGCAGGAACTCATTAGCATAATAGGCCATACCCAACAGCAGAAACCCATTAGCATATTAGGCCACACCCTGCCACCACAGCTCATTAGCATATTAGGCCACACCCCCATGTTACCAGAAGTGTGCTCATCCAGCCACACCCACCTTTTGCTTCTTATTCTTTTTACCTTGTTTGTTGTCAAGACCCAGGGCCTTTTTTGTAGCAGGAACTCCTTTGCGTTAGGCCACACACCCCTAATGTAGCCAATTCTAATGAGTTTCTGCTGTTGGGTGTGGCCTGTTATGCTAATGAGCTCCTGCTGGGCGTGGCCAACTCAGGAGCCAGCCGGAACTCCGTTCCTGTGCGTTCCTGCCCAAAAATAGCCCTGGGGTTTCCAGTTCTGGGTTGGGAAATACTTGGAGATTTGGGAGGTGGGGCCTGAGGAGGGTGAGGTTTGGGGCGTAATGCCATAGAATCCAACTTCCAAAGTGGCCATTTTCCCCCTCAGGTGAACTGATCCCTGCCACCACCTGGAAGTTGGCAACTCCAAGTATAAATATGAAAATTGATATAATCAGGGTTGAAATCATTGAAAAAGATGTATGAACTTCAATAAGCTTTGCACATTTGAGCTTTTAAAAAAAAGAAAAGAGAAAGAAAAACACAATTCTTCTCACATGTCAAAGCCATGTTTCTTGCTGAAACGACTGCCCAAATAGAAAGGAAAACAGAGCTTTATAAAAAATCCCACCAAATGGGATCACAGGTTCCGTAATTAGTATTGATAAATTCATACAACTGGGAAACCTAAGAAAGGAGAACTTGCAAAACAGATTGTGGAAGGCTGGACAGCTTTGAAACAAAATAGCATCCAGTGACAGATATCTAGAATGCTTTGGGGCAAGGGGGGGGGGTTGATGGTGGTGGTGGGGTGATGATGATTTACTAGTGCTAGCCTTGCTCATTGCTAATAGTGCAACCTACAGATTCTGTACAAAAGCTAGTCTTCTGTGGGGGGGGGGCAGCTATTCTAGGAATTTTCCCCCCTCAGCTCTTTCTCCCATGAAGAGCTCCTGGCACTGCTGATCTAGGCATTGGGGAGGGGGTCTCCCCCTGTTTGAATGCAGAAGAAGAAGAAGAAGAAGAAGAAGAAGAAGAAGAAGAAGAAGAAGAAGAAGAAGAAGAAGAAGAAGAAGAAGAAGAAGAAGAAGAAGAAGAAGAAGAAGAGATTGGATTTATACCCCGCCCTTCACTACCCAAAGGCGGCTTACAAAATCCTTTCCCTTCCCCTCCCCACAACAAGACACCCTGTGAGGTGGGTGGGGCTGAGAGAGCTCTGAGACAAACTGCTCTTTTTCAAGGACAGCTGTGCCAGAGCTTGTGACTGACCCAAGGTCACATCAGCAGGTGCAAGTGGAGGAGTGGGGAATCAAACCCAGTTCTCCCAGATTAGAGTCAACGCACTTAACCACTACACCAAACTGGCTCTTCTTCTTCTTCTTCACTACCCGAGGGAGTCTTAGAGCATCTTATAAACTCCTTTCCCTTCCCCTCCCTACAACAGACACCCTGTGAGGTAGGTGGGGCTGAGAGAGCTCTTGACAGAAACTGCTCTTTTTCAAGAACAGCTCTGACAGAACTATGGCTTGCCCAAGGTCATCCAGCAGCTGCGAGTGGAGGAGTGGGGAATCAAACCCGGTTCTCCCAGATTAGAGTCCATGCACTTAACCACTACACCAAACTGGCTCTCAGGCATTGGGGAGGGGGTCTCCCCCCCGTTTTAATGCAAAAGGGCATTTGTGTGCACACCAGCGCTGAAGCAAAAACAATGCACAGTCTGTATTTTATTTCGTATGGTGAAGTTGAGATGCTCTGCCCTCCCAATCTTGGCTATGCTAAAACTCAGAAGCTCCTTTCACCCTCCTGTGCCTTAAATATATGACAGGCCTTGCTATAGTCTCAGCTCCAGGAACTCCGTTGCAGAGTTATGACACTCTAGAGCAATAAGGGTAGAGAAACTAGCAATTAATGGTGGTTAGAGGTGATGTTCCACACCATGCCATTAAGAGAAAATGTGTGTTCTGTCAGTTCATAAGGAGAAGGGTCATCCTGCCTGTGTAACAGAAGCTCTCCAAACCATTAAAAGTGAGCAATTAAAAAAAGAACAGGGTTACATCTGAGAAACGATGAAAAAGGCGACTGAAATGCCATCTGGATTCTCAAGAATAAACGTGTGCATAAAACGGAGTAATACCAGGAAAAGCTGCTAGGATATCCTTAAGGAATAAACCATGAGATTCTTACATAGAATTCAGCCGCTGGAATTGAAGTTGCCAGGAACAGACAGAAGGGGAAAACATTAACTCATGGTCGGGAAACAGGATATTCCACAACCGGGTAGGAACAGATGGGACAGACGCTTAACAAACCGGTAGCGGTGGGAATTTCCTTTCCATTCTCATGATGATTCCTTCTGTGTCTCAGCAAAAGAATTAGTGAATTCAGCACTTCCAGGACAAGATGCCCTGATCGCCTGCCAAGGCTGAGCTTCTGTGCAAAGCCTGCATTTTCAGTTTTGACCCATCAGCCGGAAATCTGGAAGAAGTTTGTTGAACTTTGCCAAGAACTTGTAGCGAGACAACAGCGATGAGGGTGATTTCCCAGTGTGAGGCCACAAGCAGTCATCACGGGCTGGTTCTGCATCTGGCATTCGCTCCACATTTCCTCAACGCTGAGGAAAAGGTGCAGCTCAAAAAAACCCAAACCACATTCAAATACCCCAGGGCAACGCTGCCATACTGACTGCGAAGTCACCCCTGAAGGGCCATAAAATGGCCATAAATCTATGCAGAAGGTACCCAGGGCCGGCTCAAGGTGTTTCTGCGCCCTAGGCGGGGCTGTCTTATGGTGCAGATGCCAACCCTCCCGGTGGGGCCTGGAGACCTGGAGCCCTCTGGAGCCAGCCCCCCTTTTGCTCCTGCCACCCCCACCTCCCCCCCCCCCCCGCCGCCGCCACCACCAAAGGGGGGAGGGGGGAGGCACAGCTTGGTGCCCCATCCAGGGCCTGGCGCTCTAGGCGAATGCCTAGTTCGCCTAGTGGGTGAGCCGGTCCTGAAGGTACCATAAAAACCCGGTGATCAAAGAAAGTGAAAGCAGCATGCAATGCAGAGGGTACCGTACAGCCCGATGGTCAAAGAAAGTGAAAGCGGTATGAAATGGAGAGGGGGATTTCTGTTCCATCGTGGGCTTGCTAAAACAACGGAGGGAGAAGCCAATGCAGAGTTGCCCATAGAATGCTCAGATCAGCCTGACCCTTTCCATTTTGCCAGAATAAGGCTGCATTCAAACAGCACAACAAACCTCAGGTTGATTGCACTCTGGTGTAGCGTAAGGTGTGAATGCAAGCCGTCTGATAAAATGGCTCATTGCTGGGTGTTTAACTGGGCTTCCGAACTACAGTTTGTATGTGTCATGTCAACTGTGGTCAGTGCAATTAGTTCCTGGTTGCATCCAGATTCACACATTTCAGTTTGTTCGGTAGGATAACCCTGCTTAGCCTCCTGGATACAGAGTCAGGTGTATAGAATAGTAGCAAAGTTGGGCCACATTCAGCTGTCAAAGGAAGCATCTTCCCTGCCTTCTCTCTACATATATGTACACCCCTTGATAACGATGACTAAATAGGCAGGACTATCGAAAGCAAGAAATTGCAAGTAGATAAGTAGGTACTACTTCAGTGGGAAGGTAACAGCGTTCCGTGCACCTTGGTGTTTAGTCATGCCGGCCACATGACCACGGAAACGTCTTCGGACAGCGCTGGCTCTTCGGCTTTGAAACGGAGATGAGCACCGCAACCCTAGAGTCGGACTCGACTAGCTTTCGAGCAAGGGAACCTTTACCTTTACCTTTTATGAAAGATGCGAGGTATGGAAGAGAAATTCAAGAGGCTGCAGGGGGGGAATTGCATGCTTTTGTTCAGTTAGCCAACATACACAACAGAAATTGCTTCACTCCAAACTTCATCTAGAATCATAGACTCATAGAGCTGGAAGGGATCTCCAGGGTCATCTAGTCCAACCCCCTGCACAATGCAGAAATCCACAACTACACCCCACTGGTGACCCCTGCACCATGCCCAGAAGATGACAAAAAGCCATCCAGGATCAAACTGGTCAGGAGAAAAATGACTTCCTGACCCCAAAGTGGCGATCAGCATTTCCCTGAGCATGTAAGAAAGGGCCACAAGATGACCACGGAAACGTCTTCGGACAGCGCTGGCTCTTCGGCTTTGAAACGGAGATGAGCACCGCAACCCTAGAGTCGGACTCGACTAGCTTTCGAGCAAGGGAACCTTTACCTTTACCTTTTATGAAAGATGCGAGGTATGGAAGAGAAATTCAAGAGGCTGCAGGGGGGGAATTGCATGCTTTTGTTCAGTTAGCCAACATACACAACAGAAATTGCTTCACTC